GGGGTGGGGTGGGGTGGGGGGGGCCAGACCCTGCTCACTGCTGCCCCTCTCTGCGCAGGGGGTGGCCGCAGATACTGGGGACAGCAGCACCGGCCTGAGCATCCTGGGCCCTGCGCCAGGTGAGCCACATCCCCACCTTGCACGAGGGCCGCGTACCAGTCACCACCGCCTCACACGAGGGCCCTGTCCCAGTCCCTACCTACCTTGCACGAGGCTGTGCGCTGGTTGCTGCTGTCTCATACGTGGGCCACGTGCCAGCCACCCCCGCCTCGCACAAAAGTCGTGCACCACCCATGTCGCATGAGGGCCATGCATCAGTCCTCACCTACCTTGCACGAGGGCCATGCACTGGTCACTGCTGTCTCACACAAGGGCCATGCACTGATCATCACCACCTTGCACAAGGGCCATGTACCAATCCCCACCTACCTTGCACGAGAGCCTTGTGCCAGTCACCAGTGCCTCGCATGAGGACCAGCCCCTAATTCCCACCTTGTATCACCATCTCACACGAGCACCGTGGACCAGTCACCCTCACCTCACATTGGGGGGCCATGTGCCACCTGCTTCACACAAGGGCCGTGCACCAGTCCCCATCTACCTTGCATGAGGGCTGTGCCCCAGTCACTGCTGTCTCACACGAGGGCTGTATGCCAGCCCTGCTTTGCATGCCTAGGCTGGACACTAGTGCAATGCCCCTTGGCACCAGCACTCCCTGCTGGGAGCAGCTGGGAGCCCTGCCATACCCCCATGGTCAATTCACCCCCCCCGCCCCCGCTTCCCCATTAATTGTCATCACTAACGAACCTCTACCCTTCCCTTTCAGGTCCCCCCACCGAGGCCCAGCACCTGGCGGCCCCAGATCCGGGGGACGGGGAAGACAGAGCCGAGCGCAGGGCAGGGAGCCTGGGCAGCCACACCGGGCATGGGCACTCGCATGGCACCAGTGTGGCCGACGTGGCCTGGATGGTGATACTGGGGGACGGGATCCACAACCTGACTGACGGGTTGGCCATTGGTGAGGCGGGGGGAACTGGGGCACAGAGGAGGGAAACTGAGGCATGGAAGTGAGGAACTGAGGCACAGAGGGGGAAATTGAGGCATGGGGGACAAGGCCCCGGGCTGGCACCAAGCGTACGGGTCCCGGCAGGTGCGGCCTTCGCGGAGGGGCCATCGGGGGGGCTGAGCACAGCGTTGGCTGTCTTCTGCCACGAGCTGCCGCACGAGCTGGGCGACATGGCGCTGCTGCTGGGCGCCGGCCTGCGTCTCCGTGCCGTGCTCCTGGCCAACCTGCTCTCGGCGCTGCTGGCCTATGTGGGCATGGCCGTTGGCGTCCTCGCCAGCCGTGCTGCCCGGCCCCTGGGGCCCTGGATCTTCGCTGCCACGGCTGGTGTCTTCCTCTATGTGGCCCTTGTGGACATGGTGAGGCCACATTGTGTGAGGGGGTGGGGTGGGCATGGACTCCCCCTTGCCTGGGGGGAAACTGAGGCACGGGGGATGGGGACAATGAAAACCAGAGGGGGACACTGAGGCACTGGGGGGGTCGAGGTAGAAACTGATTAATGTGGGGAGGACACTGAAGCATGGGGGGGAGAAAATCATGGGGGAGAAACGGGCATGGGGGAGAAACTGAGGCACGGGGCAAGGAGAAATAGGCACAGGGAGCGGGAAACTGAGGCACGGGGGGGGAACTGAGGCGTGATGGGGAAACTGAGGCATGGGGGAGAAGCAGGCACAGGAGGGGAAACCTGAGGCATGGCGGGACTGAGGCAGAGGGAACCTGAGGTGCGAGAGGGGGAGAAACTGAGGTGTAAGAGAGGGAAACTGAGGCACAGGGGGAAACTGAGGCCTGGGGAGGGAGAAACTGAGGCCGGCCCCTGGGGAGAAGCCAGGCTGGGTACTGAGGCACCCACCCGGCCTTATACCCCATGGCGCTGAGCCCTGCTCTCCCCACAGCTGCCCCAGATGCTGCTGCGTGGCACAGGCGCGGGCAGGCGGCGGGCAGACGCCGGACGCTGCTTTGTGCTCCAGGCCCTTGGTTTCCTCCTGGGCGGGGGGCTCATGCTCACCATTGCGCTCTTTGAGGAGCAGCTCAGCTTCCCCCTGGAGCCCTGATGCCCCCGGCCCCAGGACGGGCCAGATGCGGCTCCCGCGGCCTGGACAGCACTGCACGGCTCCAGACTCTCGGGCTCTCTCCAGCAGTGCTGGGGTGGGGCGCTTGGTCTGATGGGCGCCTGAGAGGGTCCCCAGACCCAGCAGGGGAGCCGTGGACACGGGGCCAGGGCTCCTGGCTGTGGAGGAGACGGATGGATGCCTCCTGCGGCGAAGACCCTGGCCCAGGACGGACATGCGGGGCAGGTGGGGGGCCTGGACCCCCCCTGGGGCATGGAAAAGTGAGCACCATTGAATAAAGGTCGTTAATGCCAAGCCATGATGATGCCAGGACTTGGGTGCATGCAGCCAGACATTGGGAGGGGGGGGGGGGGGG